TGCTGAGCCTGGGGGTGCTGAGCATGGGGGTGCTGAGCCTGGGGGTGCTGTGCCTGGGGGTGCTGAGCCTGGGGGTACTGCGTCTGGGAGTGCTGCGCCTGCTGCTTTCTGTTCCTGGTGGTTCTCCAGACCGTTCTTCGCGCCGCGAGCTGCTCTCTCCTCTGGAGCTGCGTGAGTGGTTTGCCCGGCGCTGGAGGCGAGCTGCTGGAGCTGGGGGTACTGCGGGTGCTGGAGGTTCCGTTGCAGCCGAGGGAGCTGGTACCACGGGTCCCGGAGGTGCTCGTACTGAGGGTACTGGAGCTGCCGGGCCCGGTGGTGCCTCTGGAGCTGGAGCTGCTGCGGGTGCTGGCGCTGAGGCTACGACTGTCGGTCCTACTGCGGGTACTTCTGCAGCTGCTGGTGGTGCTGGAGTTGGAGCTTCTACTGGTGCTGGTGCTGCCTCTGGAGGTGTTGGTGCTGTCCCTGCTGTCTCTGGCGGTGCTGCGCGGCCTCGGCCGTACTTCGTTCCGCTCCTTCAGCAGGTTCTTGGTCTCCCGCCTTCCACTGGTCCTTCTCCTCACGTAGAGTGTCCGCAGCCTGTCCCGTCACAGTCACAGTTACAGCCCGCCTCTCCCCTGCCTTCTCCTTCTCCCTACGCTGGTCCTACTGGAGGTCTTGCTGAGCGTCGTGAGCCTGCGTCCCGCCCTGCGTTGCCAGTCCGAGCTGCTCGCCCCAATGGTCACGGTTCGCGTCAGCGTCCTCCTCTTGTCCCTGGCATACACCAGATGTCTCTGCGTCCGTCCACTGCTCCTCTGCGTGCCCCTTTGCCTTCTCCTCCTCAGTCTTCTCTTCCTACACTTGCCGACCCGGAGTCGGACTCTCGCCGTGCTGCCAGTCCTACTGTCACGCGTCTTCTTGCTTCTCTTGTCACTGACCCTTCCTTTGAGACCGCTGCTGCGTCTGCCCTAGTTGCTGAGCTGGTCGACTTTGCTGCTGCGTGTCGTCTGGACTACGCTGCCAGTCTTGTTGCTGAGTCTGCTGAGTCTGCTGAGTCTGCGTCTGCTGCGTCTGCGTCTGCCTGTCCTCCGTCCGTCGGAGGTGACTGTGCTCTTGGCACGGACGTCCTTGAGGACAGGGAGGAGGAGTTCCAGTGCTTTGCTGCCGCTTTGCCCCATCTCGTGTCCATGCTTGTTGCCCCTGAGGGAGACCCGGATGCTCTAGACATCCCGACCCCACGCTCTTACGCAGAGGCGATGGCCGGTCCCTACTCCTCTCAGTGGGAGTCAGCCATGGACGCAGAGATGGCTTCCTGGAAGTCCACAGGCACCTACGTTGACGCTGTTCCCCCTCCTGGGGCGAACATTGTCAGTGGCATGTGGATCTTCAGGGTGAAGCGGCCGCCGGGTTCTCCGCCTGTCTTCAAGGCGCGCTACGTGGCTCGTGGCTTCAGTCAGCGGCAGGGAGTTGACTTCTTTCAGACCTTCTCCCCGACCCCGAAGATGACCACTCTTCGGGTTCTACTGCACGTCGCTGCTCAGCGTGACTACGAGCTACACTCTCTTGACTTCAGCACTGCTTTCCTGCAGGGCCGCCTGCACGAGGAGATCTGGCTGCGCCGCCCTCCTGGCTTCACTGGGTCGTTCCCTCCTGGTACCCAGTGGAGCCTCCGGCGGCCAGTCTACGGTCTCCACCAGGCGCCGCGTGAGTGGCACGACACACTGAGGACTACACTTGCGGCTCTTGGGTTTGCTCCTTCTACTGCTGACCCATCGCTGTTTCTGCGCACCGACACCTCGCTGCCGCCGTTCTACATCCTCGTGTACGTCGACGACTTGGTCTTTGCCACTGCGGACACTGCCGCACTCGCCCACGTGAAGTCCGAGCTGCAGAAGATGTCAGAATATTATCTTATGTTCTAGCCTGTAGTGGGGTGCTCTATAGCGAGTACAACCCTTCTAGGGTTTTGCTATTTGTATCCTCATTCCTGCTAGTTCAATCCTCTCTTTCCTCTTTCTTTCTTCTAACTTTTGTCAGAAGAGACACACGTGCACAGACCTGGGTGAACTGACAAGCTATCTTGGCTTGCGGATCACCCGGGACAGAGCACGGCGCACCATTACCCTGACTCAGTCACACATGGTGCAGGAGGTCCTCAGCGCTTCGGCTTCACGTACTCCTCGCCTCAGTCCACTCCGCTGCCTACGGGACACTCACTCTCAGCTCTGCCTTCGGATGAGTCCGTAGAGTCGAGTGGTCCGTATCCAGAGCTTGTGGGCTGCCTCATGTACCTGATGACTTGCACTCGACCTGACCTCGCATACCCTCTCAGCATCTTAGCACGCTATGTTGCTCCCGGCCGTCACCGGAAGGAGCACATGGATGCAGCTAAGAGAGTGTTGCGCTACTTGTGCAGTACGTCGGGCATGGGGCTAGTGCTTGGAGGGCGTGAGCGGCCTGTGCTCACTGGGCACTCAGACGCTTCTTGGGCTGACGACCAGGCTACTCAGAGGTCGTCTCAGGGTTACACCTTCAGTCTTGGCTCTGGCTCTGTCTCTTGGCGTTCTACTCGTTCTTCTTCGGTTCTCAGCTCCAGCTGTGAGGCTGAGATCTACGCCACGGCCATGGCTGCCCAGGAGCTTCGCTGGCTCACCTACCTGCTGACTGACCTTGGAGAGCGGCCTCGTTCTCCTCCAGTGCTGTACGTCGACAACAAGGCAACCATTGCCTTGTGTGAGGAGCACAGACTGGAGCATAGGACGAAGCACATTGCTCTGCGCTACTTTCTTGCTCGAGAGCTGCAGCAGCGTGGTCAGCTTCGCCTGCGTTTCGTGGCCACTGAGGCCAACACTGCTGATGTGTTCACCAAGGCACTTCCGCCTCGTGACCATCAGCGCTTTTGCACTCTGCTAGGCCTTGTGCTCATTGGGCCTCACTTGCTTACCTCTTGACCTTGCTTGTACTGCTGCATATATATATCCTTGCTCTTGCTTGTTTAGCACTGTTATATATATATGCTCTGCTGCATGTGAACTGGCCTTGTGGCCTTGATCTTGTGCTCGGAATTTGTGTGGTATCCTTGAGATCCACCCTGAGCTTGCTTTGCTTTGCTTTGCTTTGCTTGACTGGTCTTGTGACCCCTTGCTCTCCCCCACTTTGCCTATGGGGGTGTGTCAGATGATTATATTACTGATGCATATATTTAGGCTGTAGTGGGGTAGCCCATAGGGGGTACAACCCAATTAGGGTTGGTACTTGTACTTGTTTCATTTCATAGTGCACTCATTCCTCGCCTCTATCTCAACATCCCAACCCCATCCTTATCCTTTTCTTTTCAGATTTCCTAGTGCCACGTGTCATTCTACCTTTCTTGCTTCTACTTTCTAGTCCCACGAAGTGCTTTCCGACATTCGACCTTGCATGCTATATCATCCTTGCTTGTATCCACCAATATCAACCAATTCACCTTCAACTCTTCAATTACTCAGTAACACTTTCGCCTATTTCGCCAATAGTTCTTCGCCAAAGTCTTCCGCCGCGTTTTCATCATCGACTTAGTCGACCCCGCTAATCTTTAGCGGATTTAGGCCAAGGGGCCTGAATCTGAGCTCCTGATTTGTCCGGGTATAAACCCAAACCAAAACTAATTGACAGCTCTGGTGCGATGTAACCCTGCCGAAGCGCAAGCTTTGCGTCAGTCAGCGGCAGCAGCAGTTGGTTGGTTCGTTTCTTCCCTCCGTTTTCCGCCCTTCCCGCCTCGGATTCTGTCACCCACCCTGCTCCTTGCTGCGCCTGGAAACTGGTCGCCCGCAAGTGTCATGTCAAACGGGGTCCTTGGTGTCCGTGGGATGGGGCAGGTGATCACTATCGTACGGTTGCGAACGTGCTCGTCCTGGGACTGGCTAACGTCCTCGTTGGCCAATCTCGGAAATCCCTCCGCTGGGCTCTTTTGTAACAGCTGTTTCAGCAGACATGCTGAGAGCCACGGTGACTGAGGGCGTGTGTGATTCTGGAAATTGGTCAAGTTTACATTTTTTTTTTTTTGTCGAATGTAGCATTTGAACTTGAGCCGAACAGTGTTCGACTTCCGCTGAACGTGAAGTTTGAACCGCGCAAAACATTTTCAGGTATGTCAAATCACACACCCAAGGTCGAATTTGAATGTTAGACCTTATAGGGGGTGCGCCGAGCCGCTCGTAGGGGTTGTAGGTTACCAGGTAACTTTTTTGTAGGCATTTCGCCACGTCAACATACTGACTGTGGTCTTCGGCGGAGGTTTTATTACGTCGCTGGGCTTCGTCAAATTCGCCACTCGTCATATATGTGCAAAACAACACACGTTCGGCTCACTGTACGCGCCCACATTTATGAATTGACTTGAGTCGAGTTCGGAGAGTTAGGTCGCATTTGTCATGTGTTCAAAGGAAAAGACTTTCGTCAAATAGCCTTTGCGAAATTAGCGAAGCTGGTAACCAGACAAAGTTCGAGCTGTGTTTTGAACCTAGAATAGAATCACACACGCCCTCAGCTCACTCTTTCGTTCACTGGGGTTGGCATTCCACTCAGATATTGCCGTCCAGTCAGTTTGCTAGCGCCGGGACACGCTGCTTCAGATAAATCGGTACCCCATGTGCAAGATTACTTTCCCCGATCAAGTGTTGTCTTCTGTGACTGTTTCGCTTCAGAGAATCTGCTGCGGCGCCTCTCGTTTTTTTGCGGGGTGACCTGTTGAGGGCTTAATCTAGTGCAATCAATCAGATTAAATGTTCCGTTTTTAGCCCGCCGTGCGCTTTTGGCAACGTCATTCTTGATCGTGACCTATGTCACAACCTTCAGGCTCGCGCGAGCAGAAAGAAAACCAAAGAAATCCAACATCTCCGCGAGCCTTCCGTCGATCGCTTTCCACTAATTTCGCCAACGATCATTCTTCGGGCGCCGGCGACATTCTGAGCAGCAGCAGCATCTTCAACAGCACTTGCAGCTTGAGCAGCAGCAACAGCCTGAAGAGCTCCGCCGCTTCGAGCATGGACGCGGAGAAACTCATTCCAACGTCGCGCGTGCCTGACGACCGGCAAAAGCTGCTGGCCGGCTCAAGTTCGCACGCGTCGCACGCGATGGACGTGGACGACAGCGTGCGACTGCCGGAACCCGCGAGGCGAACGCCGTCGTCAGCCTACAAGAGCGGCAAGGAGGTACGTGGATGGTCAAGATCGAACGGCGGGAGTGAATTTAGGTACGTGCTGGATGGTCATGATTGAATGGCGGGAATGAATCCGACCACTGCAGCGTCAGACGGTTACGATGATGCACCAAATGTCCATGCAGTTATCACCGATGGATGTCAATGCAATGTTAGCACCGAAGTGCGCTCGCGGGCTCCTCCTGCGCACATCTCATGGTTCCGAGGCTTGTCCTGAGAGCGCGATCACATTGCGATGCGTGTACTTCTCCCCCATCTCTCGCTGTAACCCTCCTTTCTCGCTGTCTCCCCTCTCTCTTGCTGTCTCGCAGGCATTCCTCGCGGTCCTACACAGTTGGGCGACCAAACGGTTCATGAGTGGATGGTAAGGCTCTCCCCTCCTGTTCTCTTTGCTTCCTCTTTGAAGCGTTTTTTTTCCACTCCTCTTTCCTTCCAGCTCCATTCTGTTCCGCACGCCCTTTGCCCTCCAAGCACTGTGCTGTTCGGTTCTGTACCACGTGCTCTCACGAACCCTCTCTCCACCCAGCACCAACCTAATCCATATCGTCATGGCCTTCCACATGGCCTGTTGACTGTTGCTGCTCTTTCCTTTCTCCACTCATCTATTCCCCGTCACTCTCTCTCCCCCCACCCAGCGCCATCCTCTCCCCATAGCCATCACCTTCTACATGACGTGGTGGTTCTTCACCCTCGTCCATCTCCCATTACCATCTGACGCATTATTTTCCCTCCGTGTTCCAACGGATTCTCCCTCCCTCTCCCTCTCTCTCCTCCGCTCCCAGTGCCATCCGCTTCCCCATCGCCATCACATTCTACATGACGTGGTGGTTCTTCACCTTCGTCCATCCAACACATGACGCATTCTTTGCCCTCCCTATTCCAACACATGCCCTTTCCCTCTCCCTCTCCCGCCCTCCCCTTCCCAGCGCCATCCTCTTCCCCATCGCCATCACATTCTACATGACGTGGTGGTTCTTCACCTTCGTGGACGGCTTCTTCTCGCCCATCTATCGCCATGTCTATGGCATCGACATCCTGGGTGAGTGTTGAAGGTCTGGATGAGATGAGCTGGCAAGGTGTGATGTGTACACGATGCTGCCTTACATACTGCCACGTGTATGGCATCGACATACTGGGTGAGTGGTTCGAGTGTGGCTCGTTCTCTCCAGTGTTACAGGGTTGTCCTCGGGCTCAGGCTTGCTGTGGGTCACGCATGAGGTTCAATGCGATCGTTTCGTTCGTTCGTTGTCGGTGGCTCTGTAGTGCAATCTCCAACCCATCCCACCCCGCACTCCCCAGCCCACCTCGCACCTCCCAACTGCACCCCCACATTTTCTTTGTGACTCCAATTCATTTGCCCAACCTCCCCCTCCCTCCCCACCCTTCCCCCCTTCACTCTTTCCCTGGTCGTCCTTTTCAAATCCCACCCCATCCCTGCACTTGCCTCGCCATCACGTGCCTCACAGGCCTGGGCCTCATCGCCACCATCTCCTTCACTTTCTATGCAGCCGCGTTTGTGTCCCCGTGGGTGGGGTCGTGGGGCCGCGAATCCTGTGTCTCATGAAGCGAGTGCCCATGCCGCTCTTCCATCACCTGCCTCACAGGCCTGGGATTCATCCCCACCATCTCCTTGATTGTCTTCGTGGACGTGTTCTTGTCATCGTGGGTGGGGTTGTCGGGCTGTGTCTCATGAACCGATTGCCTATCCTCCCTTTAAATCACTTCTCTCACAGGTCTTGGGTTCATAACGACCATCTCCTTCATCTTCTTTGTGGGTGTGTTCGTGTCGTCATGGGTGGGGTCGTCGGTGCTGTGGATAGGCGAGTGGATCATCCACCGCATGCCGCTCATGAAGCACATCTACTCCGCCTCCAAGCAGATCAGCAACGCCATCTCGCCGGGTGGGTGGGTGGGAATGCGGAGTGAGTTGAGTGGTTGTCATGCATGGCCCATCAATGCCGCTCATAAAGCAACCCTCAAATGCCACCACCTTGGCTTCAGCACCAGGTGCCTCCAGTCTCTTCGTGTTCCTGAGCCATCTTCCAGACTCCTGTGGTCCCCTGTCTGCTGCTCTGCCCGCCCCTGCAGACCAGAATGTGAATGCGTTCAAGGAGGTGGCCATCCTGCGCCATCCTCGCCCGTCCTCTCTCATGCACGCATGTGCATCTCTCTGCACCCGTCACATCTCATCTCATCTCCGCCCCTGCAGATCAGAACGTGAATGCGTTCAAGGAGGTGGCCATCCTGCGCCATCCGCGCATAGGCGAGTACGCCTTCGGCTTCATCACCTCCAACGTCACCCTCCAGGTGCCCACTCTCTCACCTCTGAGCACTTTTCGAATAAAGTAAACTTCCTTCTGAGGCGTCCCAAAGCGTGTAGCAGAATTGCCTTTGCCTTCATCACCTCCAACGTCATGTTCGAGGTGGCCACGTTGCCTCTCACTATCACTCTCCAGGTGCCCACATTGCCTCTCACTCTCACTCTCCAGGTGCCCACATTGCCTCTCACTCTCACTCTCCAGGTGCCTACATTGCCTCTCACTCTCACTCTCCAGGTGCCCACATTGCCGCTCACCCTCACTCTCCAGGTGCCCACATTGCCTCTCACTCTCACTCTCCAGGTGCCCACACTGCCTCTCACTCTCACTCTCCAGGTGCCCACATTGCCTCTCACTCTCGCTCTCACTCTCCAAGTGCCCACACTGCCTCTCACTCTCACTCTTCAGGTGCCCACATTGCCTCTCACTCTCACTCTCCAGGTGCCCACACTCTCACGATTCAGGTGCCCCCAGTCCCGCAGCTTCCGTGATCTCTCACCCCTCAGGTGCAGGTGCCCACATCCCCTCTCACCCCTCAGGTGCCCACACTCTCTCTCTCAGCCCTCGTCCTCCCATGCTTTCACCCCTCAGCTGTCCACACCTTCTGTCAGCTGCCCAATAGCACCTTACAGGTGCTGCCTGCCTGGCATTCGATCTCCTTTCATGATCCCAACCTCATTCCTCTGGTGCCTAACTCCACCCTTCAGGAGTTTCCGCGTCGCTGCTTGTTGTGCCCTCAGCTGCCCAATTGCACCTTGCCTTAGCCTTTTCTACATCACCAATCCAAATCTTCCTATACGCTTACAAGTTTTTCCGCGCCCGTATCTTTCCAAGTATCGTGATCCCATATGGTTGCTCTTATTTCCCAGCTCATCTCGCCCCCCAGTTTCCTTCTCCCTATAACAGCTGGAGTCGGGAGTGCAGGAGGAGCTGGTGAGTGTGTATGTGCCCACCAACCACGTGTACATTGGAGACACCTTCCTCGTGCCTGAGTCTGACATCATCCGCCCCAACCTCTCCGTGCGAGAAGGCCTCGGTAAGGCTTCTCCCACCATAGCTCAATACAGGGCAGCAATTGAGCTTCACACTGAACTGAACTGCTTTCGTCTGTGCTTTTGTTTCGTTTCTGTATTTGTTTTGGTTTTGTTTTGCGTCATGTGATACGTTTATAAGTCTGCTGCAGCTCTATGAAGGAGCTTCCATCTTTCATGCAAGAACTGTTATGTCAGCAACGCTGATGGCTTCCATTTCTGTGCTGTGCTGTATTGCTCACTGCAGAAATTGTGGTCTCGGGGGGGATGTCGATGCCTAAGGTAATCCAGCCCGCATGTAGATCACCAGCAATGAAGGGTATGATTGGATTCGGTTAATTAGTGATACCGTACAAGCGCTAGTCCGTACACAATCCCTTAGCAGCCAGTACCTGTGATGTATTTCGTGGTCTAAGCTGCCTAGAGATATGCTCGTTCTTATTTTATACATGCGTTTCTTATATGGTATACTACTTTATCCTACCGATAATCAATCACGGGCATTTCTCGATAGGGTGGATACTGGTTGCATGGTGTAGTGAGATAATAGAAACTACCGTTTTATTCCGGCTACAGGATACACCAGTAAAAAGCCCCCCCTGGGAGTCTCTGTTGGTCAGTGGGACTTACTCTGGTAAGTTTTGCGAGGGCCCCTTTGCGCTTAACAATTTTGAGACCCCAATTTTGAATACAGTAGTTGTAAACACTATTACGCGTCAGCTTTTACAGGGCACAATTCGAATTCTGACACGCTGTCGTTTTAGAATCAAATTCTGACACGATATTTGTGTCAGACTCGAATTCTGGAATTCTGACACTAATCTGACGCACCGCTCGAGGGGTGTTTTTCGTTACGAATATAAGACCCCCATATTGAGCCGTACACCCTAGAAAAATAGATTGATCGTTGATAAATAAGTGTACCCGGGGCCGGAAAAACTCCAGCCACCTAAAAGTTCAAGTTAACATTGTGAAACTGTAGAGAGTCCCCCAGGACCTATATCCGACAACGAAAATAGGTAGACGAAATTGATGCATGGGTTTGTACCAGGGGTCTCGTTAGCAGACGAAATTCGTCTGTCCAACTATATTTCTGACTTGTTTTCTCTTTTTCATGCCGTTTGTTGTTTTAGACAAAAAAACCCCAATATCGGCTCTCTCCCTAGTGATATGCAAGCCAAGGTAGCGGCGCAGCTCACCAAGGTTAGTGCACGTGTTTTTCTTCTGCAGATCGGACTCCACCTTAGCCAGAGCAACCCTGTTTGCTGTAGCAAAGACCAAGTCGTCGACGTGGAGCATCTGCGAACAAATAGCGACGGGTGGCGGACAAAAGGCAGAAACCGATGTCAACCAGAATGGTGCGTAGCGTGTCGTGCCACTCACGGGGCGCCCGGCGGAGACCGTAGACTGGTCGTCTCCGGCTCCACTGGATCTTAAGAGGGAAAGTGCTAGTGAAGCCAGGAGGACGCCGCAACCAGATCTCCTCGTGTAAGCGGCCCTGGAGAAAGGTAGTGGAGAAGTCGAGGGAGTGCAGCTCGTAGTTTCGCTGTGCTGCTACGTGAAGTAACACACAAAGAGTAGTCATATTCGGGGTCAGGGCGAAGGTCCGAAAGAAGTCAACTCCCTCACGCTGACTGAAGCTTCTAGCCAGGTAGCGCACATTGAAGACAGACGGTGATCCAGGTGGTCGCTTCACCTTGAAGATCCACATGCCGTTGATTACGTTAATCCTGGATTGGAGAACTAGGTGCATGTGGATCTCTGAGATGCCATCCCTGAGTCCATGCCGCCATCCACTAAGAGGCCTACTGCACTGATACTGCCTAACGCTATGTGCAAGGAATCGGAATATCAAGGGCGTCTAGGTCTCCCCCAAAGGAAAGCAGCATGGCACAGGAGAGGGAGAAGCGGCTGCCAAAAACTCCAGCTCAAACCGCCTGTCCTCTAGGACGTCATAGCGAAGGGAAAGCTCAACCCCGGGAGACAGAGGACGGGTTGGAGGAGCAGCCAGATGGACGACGTAGAGGCACGTGGGTGCGTGACAAGAGAGCGAGAACACGCGTGACAAAAGGGCGAGCAGCATGGTAGTAGTCGGTGATAGGGTGAGAGGAGACAGTAAGAGATGACTCAGGAGGTGGCGTCACAACAAACACAAGCGGAGCATGGCGAGGGCTAGAACGAACAAGGCAGTGCGAAGGTCGACAAAAGGCGACGAAGGACGAGCACGTGGAGGACAACGAGAGGTCCAGTGGTGAGGGAGAACATGAGGAGGTGACTGTGACTGAGGAGGATAGAAAACAACCGGAGCGGAGTCCGGAGGAGGAAACCTAGGACCGTACACGGTAGGAGACTGTGAGTGAATAGGAGGAGAGGAGGGATAGCCAAGGGCCCGAGAGCCACTTACTGGTGGGAATAGCTGCTGCAAAAGTGGCGGTTGCTGCGGCTGCTGCTGCTGCGGCTGCTGTTGCTGCTGCGGCTGCTGTTGCTGCTGCTGCTGCTGCTGCTGCTGCAGCTGGTGCTGCTGCAGCTGGTGCTGCTCCTTCTCCTCCTCATGCTGCTCTTGCTGGTCTAAGTACTGCAACTTCTGCTTCTCCTGCTCCTACCGCTCCTGCTCCTTGCGCTCAAGCTAGCAAAGAGCCTGGAGACACGTGTCTTAGCGGTGGGGAGGCGCAGTGGGCGCCGCTCCTGCCTCTCCACCTCTAGTCTCCTCAGGAGTAGCACCTCCAGTGTCAGCACCTCCTGCTCCAGCACCCCTAGAACTAGCAGTTCTAGTGCCAGCACCTCAGCTCCAGCACCCCTAGGATTAGCACCACTAGTGCTAGCACCTCCAGATCGAGCACTCCCTGAACTAGCACTTCTAGTGCCAACACCTCCACCTCGAGCAACCTTCGAAAGAGCACTGCCAGACCGAGTACCTCCAATGGCCACAACTCCAGCTCCAACACCCCCTGAGTTTACAGTAACATGTCGCGGAAGTGTTCGCAGAGGCATTCGATACTACAACACCAACATCAGTTTTCCTCCGGACACTCCGATCAATTCGATCACACCAACCTCAGAGAATGATCCCATGGTCAACATCTGGGGCGAAACAATGAATGTCTCACCTGACTTTGAGCTTCTTCCGAGTACACCAGAGTCTCCCCCCAGTTTTCCCACAAGAAACTATGTCGACCTCTTGCCGTACTCCGGAGATTTTGATCGCATCATTACTCCAAAGATTGCCGGCATCGCACGCCAGAGCCTCGAAAACTTCAACACCTGGTACCTCGAGAGCAGCTACGAGCAACACATTGTAGGATCACCAAGATTCATCCGCGACTCAAGGCACGTGCGACCACCATGTGGAATCACAGTCGCCAACAACAACCGACTGAAAGCGTACGACACCAGAGAAATTTACCTCGAAGCCATGGACACCCACTTCACCATTCACATCGGAGACGTGTTGGTTGTTCCCGCAGTACAACCTGCTCTCGTCAGCACAACTCATGAGGTGTGGAGTTGACATTCGAAGCAACTGCAAGGAGAGAAGATTTGAACTGTTCTACAAGAACACTTACATCGGGAAGGCAGTTGACAACGATGGAGTCTTCGTTTTAAATTTCACGGCGGAAGGCACAACATGCGATTCCGAATGGACTCTTCTTCTGAAGACGACTCCCACCGAAGCACCGACTTGGTCCCACCCTAATGAGATGGACCTTGAGTGACCTGCTTTGGACGGACTTCTTCGCCTGCGTGCCGTCCCATCTGCTTCAGCCTCCACTAAGATACCATGACTGCAGCAATGGAACAGAAGGAGGACAGCGGGAGGCAGCAACTGCAGAAGCTGACACTGGAGAATGGGGAGCACCCGCTGAAACTAGATGGGGCGTAACAGGACCAGTCTCACCCACCTGGTCCACTCCAACTCCTTAGGTCGGCGCCTGGGGAGTGCCACAACCACCAGTAGAGGAAGGAGGATGGAGACCACCATCACCACCGGCAGGCGTTCCAGCCAAAGGAGGCTGGGGAACCTCCACATCTCGCAACGAATGGGGGTACCCAGAAGCTCTGGGTCTTCCCCCCAAACCCGTCGCCGAGATAGACCCGTACTGGGCAATGCGTGGCACAAGCTAGGGAGGGCCACCTCTTCCAGATCAGTACGCTCCTAACACACCAGAAGAAACAAGGAGGAATCATAAGAACAAATTACCTACGAGTTCGGAGGAGCAGTGGAACTATCCGAACCTAGCGAGGAAGCGCCACCGCCAGAGCAAGGACCCCAGTTGATCGAGCACCACTACAACCGCATTCCAATGGAGGGACTTCCCACGTCCGAATGGCCTGAAGCAACATCTTTTGCACAACTGTTGTCATGGGCTATTCAGTCCACGCCGGAGACATAGACGACATCATTGGAATTCTTGACACTGTCTTGAAGGAAAACTCCACCGGAGCCTCTGCAACCGATGTGGACAATGCCACCGATGAAGGACCTGAAGACGGGTGGCAGGACGAAGTGGAAAGGCACAAATATTACCACAAGACAGTCAGCTACCAACCAGACCCAGAAACCTGGCATCAACGACTCAGACATCCCTCACACGTCATGCTCAAAAACTCCCTCAAGGCTGGAGTCTTTGACGAAGACGCGTTGATGCTCCCCCGAGGAGGTTCCTTCACAGCAGACTTAGCTGACCCGCCGTGCATGTCCGCCCCACCGCATCGCTCACCCACAAGCCCTTTTCTGACTTACCTCATGGCTACAAACGCTACGAACCTCTCGAAAAGGTCTACAAGGACTTCATGATTCTCAGCTAGGAAGGGCTTGACGGCAAAGTATACGCGCTACGTCTCGGCTATTAACACCGATTGTCGCTCTCTCGCCTTCGAGTGCTTCATCGCTTGGATGAAACGCGCTGAACGTCAATCAGGGTGAAGCTGAAGAGTTACCAGACGTACGGAGGAGCGTGGTTATTGTCAGAACATTATAGCTTATGCTTTTGTGTAGGCCGTAGTGGGGTATCCCATAGGGGGTACAACCCAATTAGGGTTAGTACTTGTACACACTTCATTCATAGTTCATTCATTCTCGTTCAGGTTCCCACGTGGGAACTGTTCCTAGGGCCCACCGATCCCTTTTTTTTTCCTGCCCGGGGCGCGTCCTGCTGTTGAACAAGAATGGATGAACTAATCATGAAAATGAGTACAAGTAGGAAACC